AGCACAGTCATCACAAACACCTGTCCTTAGGGAGGCACTTTCATCCATTACGAGTGCAAGGGAGGACAGGCAGAGGGAGAGACAGGAAAACTTGGACCATGGTGAGGAGGGAAGAAATGGAAGAGATAAGGACCTGAATAGCCACTAAGTCCTGTGAGGTGTCATCGAATGCTAACACTGAAGGACTCCAACCTTTTTACCCTAATAATCTGGAGACGGGGAGGGGTATATGGGATCGTCTGGAGGGAGGAAAGAGAGGGGAGAGATGTTAAAATTATAATCTCAAAAAAGGGAAAAAGAAAAAGAAAAGCCACCAGGTTGAGCCCTGCAGTTGCAGCACTGGGCAGGTGTGGTCCAGGGGAGGAACTAGGAAGAGCAGAGCCGGGCCGAGGTCTCCACGGACCTCACTGCGCTCTCCAAGGCCATGGTGGGCTTTTTGTGGCTCAGGCTCTACAAAAGTAACTACTTGACTGTCTCTGGGGAAAGCCCTTGAGGTTGGAAACACATATAATCCTTGCCACAATGCCCTCAAGTAGGTGCTAGAATTTACCTTCCCTTTTTTGTCAGGTGTGATGTATGCAATGGTGCATGTTTGTGGACCCGTTTGTGCACAGATGCGGAGGCCAGAGGACGATGGTGGGTGGCTGTCTTCCTCACCCCCTGCCCACCTGATTTTTTGAGATAGGGTCTCTCACACTAGCTGGAAGCTAACCCTAGGGACCCTTCTGTCACCACCTCCCCAGTGCTGGGATTACAAGCATGCCTTGCATTCCCCCAGTCTCAAGGGTTCATACTTCACTAGCCAAACCTCTCAGGCCCCATGATTTAACCATCTTTTAAATGAGGGAACTAAGCCCAGCACAATGGCAAACACCTTTAATCCCAACACTCAAGGGGCAGAGGCAGGCAAAATCTTAGTTCGAAGAGCTACACAGGGAAACCTGTCTTGGGGAACACATGAATAAATAAATGAATGAAAAGAGGAAACTAAATCTTGGCTTTATTAAGACCTTGTATAACAGGCGATTTACTAGACTACCCTAGCCCCTTGCTTCATAGCTTAGAAGGCAGGAAAGATCAGAGGTGCTGCCCAGCCCAGGTGAGTACCAAACTGTCACAGCTGAACTTCCTTCTTCATGCCAAGACAGTGTTGTCAGGCACAGCAGGACAGGTCTTTCCTAATTCCTGCCACAGTGCCTGCCTTCCTTGCTTTTTCATTAGTGACCTCTACTCAGCAGCATTAGGTCTCAATGACAAGCACTGCATGGGCTCTTGGGGAAGCTCATCTTCCTCACCCAACCAGGCAGAGCATTTGAACAAATTTATCAACTATTTCAGCCACAGGATAAAATGCTAAGTGCAGGATGCCAAGCAGCTCCTGGCCATGAACATGAGACTCTTGTGCCTGGCACTGCTGAGGCTGTTAAGAGTTAAAGAAAAGGCATTTCTGACAAACTGCTGCAGATACGGGCAGGTGATAGCCCCGCTTCCGCTAAAGATCCAGCCCCTTGACTTGAGGAAAGAAGTTGGTGTCCCTGCCATTTAATAAATGGGTACAGCATTCTGGCCTCCTTGTCACCTTCGATGGCAAGAGCTCAAGGATGCTGTCCAAAGCACCAGGAATGTGCTACAGAGTACACGTTTTAATAGAACCACCTCAAATAAAAGGCTTCACCCACCATTTCGTAATGCTTAATGGAGTTTTGATTCAAGAGAACATGGGAGTGCATTGTTTTGTTTTTGTTTGTTCCTGTCCTGAAACTCACTTTGTAGACCAGGCTGGCCTTGAATTAACTGAGATCTGCCTGCCTCTGCCTCTGCCTCCCAAGTGCTGGGATTAAAGACGTGTACCACCACCCACTCGGCCTAGGAGTGGACATCTTAAAGACAGAAAAGTGTAGGGCAAGGAGGGGCTCAAATGCAAAACAAAACAAAACAAAAAACAGTTACAGAAAGGAATTGGTAGAAACCAAACCAAGCTCAATGGCAATTTTGGAAATACTTTTTTTTTTTTTTTTATAGTGGAAAACTGCCAAGAATACGTTTACTTTTGACAGGTGACCAGGGAAGGAAACGGATCTTGTCCCATGGCAATCGACAGGAGTAAGGAGGACTTGTACCTGCCCCTCTATTCTGAGGCTAATGTAGCCAAAGGACAAGCAGGAGGGTGTCAGGACATGAGTGTGCAGCCTGCACCCTTCTCAATGGTTTCTGGGGAGACTGGGAGTGGAGCTTTGTGAGGGAAGAAAGTGCAACTAGAGTTCGGCATTGAAGACAGTACTGTTCCTGAGCTACAGCAGTGCCATACAGAGCTCCTCCAGCGGAGTGCAGATGGCCCTGGTAACACACAGGGCCCAATGTGCAAGTGGCCAGGTTCTCTGACCGGTACAGTCACTTCAGCCAGGGATAGAGAAAACTCAATTTTAAGACGAGTTCTGTGTAGCCCAGGCTGGCTTTAAACTCATGTTCCTCCTTCATCAACCTCCTGATGGCAAGAAGTTCCTAAAAATTCCTTAAACTTCCTGTTTAAATCAGGGTGTTAAGGATATCCCTAAAGTGAGATAGGGTTTTTAAATGCAAAAAAGGAAAAGTAAACAAAAACATAACAAAGTTTATCTTCCATTTGGCTCTTTTTATTAGAGAAATTGAGAAGACAGCAAGTAGGGAAATCCCATGGTGAATGGATAGATGCCTTGCTGGAACCCCAACCTTCTATGATCCCCAAAAGTGTGCTTTGTGACTTCGGCAACTTAGAAAGGGGAAATACTGAAAAAGGCCACTATTTACTGATGAAAGAATGAAGGTATACAGGTTCCTAACTGGCCTAGGGTCAAGGAGAAAATGAACAGGTGCGCATAGCAAGCCAGCCTCAGACTGCTGAAGGTAAGGCATTCAGGTGCCAACCTGACAAGCTCCCGGGGTGGGGGGGGCACCAGGTCAAGTGCACATGGAGGCTGTTGTAGTGAGCTGCGCGGACACGTGGGCACCCATGATGTGCCCACACACACACACCCAGAAGGGAAGTTACTGGACTACACACTGGCGGTGTTGATTCTTTACCCTAAGAGTTTGTGCTATGGTGAACCAGACTCTTCCTGCTCGGGAAGAGGGATGACTAGACTCTGACCCCTACTTCTGTAGGGTCATGGGGTAGCATCTCATACTCTGTCCCTAAGAACAGGACCAGAGAAGAAGTCTGGCTTCTGATATGTGCTGTTGCTACCACAAACCTAGGTGAGCTTCCTTCCAGATGGACATTGTCCTGCTAAGCTTCTTGAGGAATTAACACTGTTCTTAACCCAGCATAATGTTGTTTACCCAGTCTTCCATTTGGTCTACCTAGGGCAGTGACCTTATCCACAACCAAACACTCCTAAGTTCTTCCCAGGTTTTACAATGGACTCCTTCTGGATCCCCAGTTGCAACTGGAGATCTGATGGTAAAGGAAGGACAACAATGACCAAGAAAACACTACCGAATAGGAGAACCTTCTCAAATTCCCAAGCATCCCCTCTGAGATGCCAGAGGGCCCATGTACCACTGCAATACCCAGCCCCAGGATGTGATGCCTGCCTGAAGTCCTGGAAACTCAAGTGCTTGGTTTCTCACTTAGGAGCCAAGATCATCCCCACTCTCTAAAACCCATTAACGTAGTGGCCCTGGGACAGAGAAATTATTTGTAACTTCCAGCAGCAATTCAATTTGTGGGCTTAAGTCTATCCCACTACACGGCAATAACATACCACTTCCTTTTAAACTGTGCCATACTCCTTGTAAACGGCATTCAGTGAGTGCTAACTACTCACAGTAGACACTGCTGACTTTCTGTCCAAGGGAAGCAGAAGTGCCTGTTCTGTCACACCACACTGACCAGACAGTGCACCCGAGAAAAACACCATCATTCCTAGTAGGGCTGGCTCTCCACACCTGCCTATTTGATGTCATCAGACTCACTAGTGGCTGGCTCCATGCCAGGGGGGGGGGGGGGATGGGGGACGATGGACACGAAGACAAGTTTTTTTATTTCCAGGAGGAGGAAGAAGGATAGTAGGGCAGTGATTCTCAGTAGAGCAAAGTTTGCAGAATGGCTCAGGGCTCCACAGAGAGGGATTGGAAAATGGCCACACCTCTATTCAGGTAAAAACAGGACACCAGGGAAGAACTGGCCAAGCCCTGTGCAGATGGTCCCTCCTCCCCTTCATCATCTCTTTAATACATGGATGGCAGGATGCGGTGGCTCCACTCTTCAGAAAGGGCCTACATGACAGCCTCTCAAGTGACACTTTCTCTAGAGCCATTCCGACAACCTGAGCTGCTTCCACTGAGAAAGCACACATCTCTTCCTATCACCCCCTCCACCTCTGAATGCCTACAGCTCTCAAGTCTTGAGAGTGGCCAGGAAATCCCTGGACTGGGGCTGAACCCTCTGCCCCAGCAGGGTCCAAGTGCTATCGGCCTATGGAAGGCACCTTGGTGCACCAAAACAGCGTGCATTCTGGGGCTACTACTTCATCCTCCTTCGGTCATTTGTGCAAAATTGAAACAGTGTGTGGTACTTGCATCATGTTTCATTCTGTTAAAAAAGACTCCCTCCCTCCCCTGCCCCTATGTTTTAAATGTTTATATAAATTCTTATTTAAACAGTAAATTAGAAATCTTATTTACATTAATTTCTTTGTTCTCCCAAAAGAGTGCCTAAACTCACACTCCTACCCCTGTGTTGGGTAGAAATGTTCACCTAAATTGGTTTTGATTATTGTTTTGAGGAGCTGCAGTGGCACAATCAGTCGGCGCACAGTACTCATGTATTACTGCTTTAAGGAGAGAGAGGGAGAAGAAAGAACCACCAACTAAACATTCCCATCTTCTACAAATAAATACGATCACATCAGAAGCCAGTCTGTCAGGCAAGGGTCTTGCAGAGTTGCCCTCAATCAGTAGATCCCAAAAGGAAGTCAGGGGATGAGCCATTCTCCTTTTCTCCAAATTGATGCACTCCATCCTTTGAGGTATGATTTATTTTTGTTTTTCTCTTCTTAGTCTTGTACCCACGGAGCCCTTGGCCATCACGAGGCCCATGAGGCTGTCCATGCTTTGGGGCTTCTCTGGCACCGACAGCCAGTGAGCAGACCTGTGGGAGCTGCAGGCCTGGGTTCAGGGTCACAGTCCCTGGCTCCTGCGGAGTTTCACAGTGCTTCCTCTTCAGTGCAGCCCCCACCAATCATGAAACGGAATTCCTGCAGGTTTGAGACGCCGTGGAAGTGGACAAAGGCACCAGCAACCACAAAGATGTGAAACAGCTGATGAGAGTGAAACTAGAGAGACAGAAGGGTGGGAAAGCATCGTTACCAGCGTGCTGCAGACACCTGGGAAAAGCCCTGCTTCCCAGCTTGCACTGACACTTGGAATACATATGATAGAGTTCAAATTCAAGGTGGATACAAGAATATCCACTGGGGACCTCACATTTTACTGAGTCAAAAGCCAACTCTTCCCCAGAGAAATACAGGTACTGCCACTAACATAGTGAAATTAGGGGCGAATTCCATACAAACCTTGCAGTGAGACCACCAAATTCCCCAGGACCCCATCAGCAGGACATGATTTACTGACAGACACTTGAGAAATTACAACATTCTCTCATGGTCTCAAGATGAAAAGGCACAGTGCTATTTATCAAGACACTGATATTAGAAATGCAACTGAGCCAGGCCTTGGTGGCGCATGCTTTAATCCCAGCACTCTGGAAGCAGAGACAGGCAGATCTCTGGGAGTTTGAGGCCACCCTGACCTACAAAGCCAGTTTCAGAATAGCCAGGGCTATTACACAATAGAAAAACCCTGTCTTGGAAAACAAACACACACACGCAGTGTAACTAAGAAGAAACGGAAGGTAGGAACGGAAGGTAAATTAGCTAACCTGAAGCTCAGAAGACTGAGTTCAGGACAATCTCCATTTACCTTACAGACATGGGTGGCCAGCTCAGCATACAACTGTGAGCAACAATGATTAGCAGAACCTGCAAATCAGACCTCGCTTTAAGAGCACTCCAAATCTACTACACTGCTGAAAATGTTTCAGATCCTCTTCAGGTAGAAATGCCCATCTTACCAGTTCCTCATTTTCTTTTCTCCCTTTTTTCCCCTCTCCTCTCATTAGCCACAGTCTATTTATCTCCCTCTCCTCCCTTCTCCCACCAGATACAATCTCCTATCAATATTACTGGGTTTGGATACCAAAAAGGATCCTGGGGCCAGCAAGATGTGATTTCAACAGGTAAAAGCATTTGTTTCTCAATGGCTGGCAACCTGTGTTCACTCCCTGGAACCGCTGTAGAAGAGGACAGGCAAATCCTGAAAGGTGTCTTCTGACCTTTACATGGGCACCACAGCGTGTGTGTACCAGTTCTAACACCCACGCTCAAACATACAATAACTAAATTAGTAACTCCGCCCACCCCTCTTTCGGTTTTTTGTTGTTTTGTTTTTTGAGACAGGGTTTCTTTATAGCCCTGGCTATCCTGGAACTCACTCTGGTGTAGACTAGGTTGGCCTCGAACTCACAGACATCCACCTGCCTCTGCCTCCTGAGTGCTGGAACTAAAGGTATGCACCACTACACCCAGCTTCAGACTTTTCTTTTTTAAAAATTATCTCAGCGGAAGACTGCCCTTCTTTCATAGTGAGAAACATGATGGAAAACAGAAAGGATGACCGTGGCTCCACTACAGTGCAGCAAACCAGATCACACACAGACAGACACTAAAACCAGCTTCATTCCATTTCTATGTGTACCACTTAATGGCCACTTGCTTTAGACAAGCTACTGAGCCTTCCTGAGCCCTAGCTTCCTATTGAGTGAGAATGAGAACACACTTGATGAACTGCTGTGTGTGCCACACTCAGTGTTTGCCAGGCACTGAGTGGTCTGTCAGCCTGGTTAACAGGATTAGCAGTTAGCACCATGCTCACTGTTCAGAGAAACCAGACAACATGGAACAGAGCTAAGACAGGAACACAAGTCTCTTAACTCCCAGTGTGCCATTAGCACACTAATGGGAACGTACACCTTATTGCCATTGACCACACTTACCCAGATGTCACATTTGCCAGGAAAGAAGCGTTCGGGGATGCGGGCAGCATAGAGGGCAGCTCCTGTGATATAGAGGCTAGCCATGAGCATTAGCCAGCCTATCTGCCCTATGGTGGCAGCCTTCAGGAAGCCTTCAGAGATGACATAGTGCAAGGTAGGGATGATTCCACTCAGGCCTAAGCCTACAAACACTCCTAAGATTTCAGGAGAACAGAATAAGAAGAGAACACACAAGAAAATAAGAAAAATCAATATTATGACATATTATGACATAGTATTATTTACCTTGATCAACTTAAAATTTCAAAGTATGGTCATTCTTTCTTTGGTTTTGGGGTTTTTTTCAAGACAGGGTTTCTCTGTGTAACAGATCTAGTACTGATACTAGTTTTGTAGACCAGGCTGGCTTTGAACTCACAGAGATCCACCTGCCTCTGCCTCCCGAGTGCTGGGATTAAAGGTGTGCACCACCACTGCTGTCAGACATTCTTGTTTTAAAAGAAAAAAGGTCCTTCAAACTTTGAGACACCATCACACAAGACGATGTAGCTACGTTCTATTTACAGATACGAAAAGCCTCGCAGTAAGCAAGGCTGTGTAAGCAACCCTGAGGGTTAGTCAGAACCACATTGCCAAGACATTTAAGAAAGGAAACCATGGTGAGTTTGCTAAAACTTCCTTTAATGTCATCCTTTTACAGGCAGATTGCAACAGGCTCTAAATGACTGAAGCTTTCCCCACAGTCTCTAGAACTCAACCCAGCACCACCAGTAAGCTGGGCATGTCACAGCATACACAAATGAGAGAAGAAACTGGCATGCTAACTGCATGAAACTCAGGGACCAAGCAGACCTAATAAAAACTATTGCAACTCTCTACTGTCCTCTAAGGCATTGCTGTACTCCTGTTCTTGTCCTTTGCATATGAAAGAAGGCTGCTAATAGGGCTTTTCACTCTCAAAGGCTCAGGACTTAACCTTCTGGGGTTTATAAATAGTAGACTGCTCAGTTCCACTCAGTAAAGATGTTCTTATCTCATGCACTCTAACAGGTTTAACACTGCTGACCTAGTGAAGAACCACAGAGCTAGTGTTGGCTATTGCTTATTTGCTCCTGTGAGTGTCTTAACAAGGAGGAGAGCAGACTGTTATTTCATCAACATGGGGTTAGTTCTGTGTCTGGTATTCTAATTGCATGCACATAAACAAAATATATATATATAATATATATGTATGTATGTATGTATGTATGTTGCAATAGCACTTAGGAGGCATTGGGTATTACTTTGGGGACAGAAAGCAAGACACAACTTCAGACAACTGAGTCCCAGTTCATAAAGATTGTCAGAATCACTAAGCACAGGCTACTGCTTTTAAAACTAAAGGCAGTGTTTTTCAATCTTCTGGTTCTGCAAATGCCACATTCAAACAAGAAAACTGCCAATGTCACAGGGCACTCAGTAGGCATTACCTAAATACCAAAGGACTCTACATCAGAGAAGTATGGCATCTACTTTACTGGTACATAATCAGCCATGAACTCAGGTCTATCAAAGTGATTTAAATAAAGTATAAATACTAAATACAACACAAAAAGAATTAATTATCACAAACTACACTAAACTGAAACAATTACAGAACTCATTATATTATATATTTCCTCAAATAAACATCTTATCACTGCCCCTCAACCCTATGTTTTCTATTAACCAACTACCAGGTTAGAAGTTCCCCCAAGAACAGTGGTTACTTCATTATCTGCACTGCAAAAACACAGCACTGGTTTGTTAACAGCACTCTGTAAATGACCAGTGAACTATACATTCACTTGCACTCACCTGCTCTGACCCCCCGATACTGAGGGGTGGCAAACATGTCCCACTGGGAGACAATAATGGCTGCAATGCCCAGCACACAGATGACAATCAGGTAGATGAAGCAAGGTTGTGGGTTACAGTAGAAAGAATAGTAAAGCCAAGGGACAAAGCTTCCCATGATCAGAAGAGCAATTCCAGAGTAATCCAATCTAGGGTTGAAATTAAAAAGAACTCCATTTAATGCTAAAAATTATCATCTGTTAGAGGCTCCAATTATTCCCCCACGACTTATGACATCAGCAGCAACTAAGAAGCAAACAGGCTGTCTGCATCAATTAAGGGAAGATGTTCCCATAGGATGTTCCTGCCAGCTCTGCTGCAGGTTGTCCCTGCCCCACTGACCCTAAACCACAGATGACAGCATGGACAGCATGAACTGAACACTTACTTGGAGAAGAGTCGGGAGACCCCTTCTGAGTGGCAGTAGACTGTGTGGAAGAGCCATGAGAATGAAAGGCAGAGAATGGCTCCCAAGAAGAACAACCCGAAGACCACTTTCTCTTGCAGAGGGGCCACAAAGGAGATATTTGGGCGGAACATATAAAAGATCCCCAGGCACAGGAAGAATACACAACCTAGGAAAGGAGTGTGAGATATGGATGAAATGTGATCTGTGCTGTTGTATGCTGATTTCAATTTTTCCAAGAGGCAGTAATACCAGAACCATAAATTCTGTGAGAAAAATTATCAAAATAAAAAAGTTTATCCAAGATTTTACTTTACTTCCAATACTGCTGGTGTCATATATACTTCAGCTTTTTAAAGAATATAATGACTAGCTAAGGATTTATATATATTAAAAATGCCTTGACTTCAAAATTTAAGTCTAAGGACAGGTTACTGGGGAAAAGGATTTCTATTTTTGTTTCCACAGAAACTCAAAAGCTGTGAATTCCTTCCAAACTAACATGATCAAGCAAGACCCACTAAAACAGTGCCCCAGGTGATCCAACATCCAAAACAGCTGGGACAAGACAGCCTTGCAGACCACTACAGCTAGGATTTCTGAATCTTCTTAGGATCCCCAAGACAGCAACCCTAACAGCAGGAAGTAGTTTGGAGCAGAGAACAATACCCAAATACCAAATATTGCCTATAAATGTTTGTTTTCACTTAAATGGCATTGGTTATAAATGGTTTGGTTTTTGTTTTTTGGTTTTTCAAGACAGGGTTTCTCTGTACTGTTTGAAGCCTGTCCTGGAACTCTCTCTGTAGACCAGGCTGGCCTTGCATAGAGATCCACCTGCCTCTGCCTCCTGAGTGCTGGGATTAAAGGCATGTGGCCCCATCGCTCAGCGGCTACAAATGGCTAATGATCACAACCAATCTCTTTGTTTTAGAATGGATTTTCATTTATTGATACAAATTTAAGGTCAATTTTGTGATAAGTATATTTCTCCTCTTGTTTAGGTATTGTGTTTACATAGCTCATTTAAAATGTATAATTTAGTACAGATTATAAATAGTTACCTGTAATAGTCAAAACTCATAGTTAGGTTAGTTAGGATTTCTAGATATACAGAGATATATTTGAGATAGATATATATATATATATTCTTCAAACCTTTCAAAGACCTACAGAATATGGCATTTAAAATGGTTTAGAGTTTTTCTTGACAGTGAGACATAACTACTCCTGGCAACACCACCTGAGTCAGAAAGGAAGATGGACATCATAGAAACTCATAGAGTTTGCTTTTTGATATGGCAAGACTAGCCATTTGGGCAAGGTACTGCTCTTGTCTAGACTATTTAACTATATGCTTCATAAAGTAGACATCAGGACCCACAAAAAAGTGACTGATAAAACCAGATGGACATTGCTGTAGGGTTCCTGCTTCATGGAAGAGTCTGCCAGACAGTCTACAAGACACAGAGAAAAGTGACTGACAAACTGCCAACACAGGTGGACAGTTTAAAGTTTCCTGCTTTGCTGAGGAGTCTGCCAGACACACTATGCCCTATAGGCTGAAGATGGAACTTTACAGAAGAACTTCAGGTGCCTGACCAGGTAGCGAGATGTCTCTGTCATTTCTAGAGTTTATATATTATCCTTCTGTGGTCTTTGAGGGAGTTAAAGACAATAGTTATGGTTATAGTTTTCCTGTTAGGATTAAAGATAAGGTACATATAAGACTTTATACTCACAAAGATAGGAGATGATGGAATATTTTCTTTAAATCTTGCTAAATGTCAATGGACTAAATATTGTTAACTATAGTTCTTATTTAACTGTTTTGTTATATATTTTACTATATAAACGTTAAAACCCTTCTTTTTATTTAGAAAAAAAAAAGAGATGATGGGAGATGTCATTCTATAAATATGTTTCTCTTATTGGTTAATGAATAAAGCCCTGTTGGCCTATAGGAAAGCAAGATAAACGGGCCTAGGAGACAAGGAGGATTCTGGAGGTGAGTAGGGAGAGTTAATATACAGGACCTTGAGAGAAGTCTGGACCATCTCTCCAGTAAGATAAGACCATGTGGAAACACTTAGATTAATAGAAATGGAATAATATTTAAGACAGAGCTAGCCAATGAGAAACAATAGTATCAGGCCAACAGCTTTATATCTAATACAGAGAATCTCTTTGGGTTATTTGGGGCTGATGCAGCTCTGGGACAAGGCTGGTAGGAAATCTGCTCCTATCATTAGACAAACAGTAACTACTTTCTCTCACTATGGATTTGTGTTTTCTGAACATTTCATGTACATGGAACCATACAATTATGTAGCCTATTAAGTCTCTTCATTTAATTAGTTTAATGGCTCACTCTGCATATTGTAACAAACATCAGTAATTCATCTCCTTATAACTAAATTCTTTTTTTTTTTTTCAATCTTACTTTTACTTATGTGTGTGGAGGCCAGAGAACAATTGTAGGAACCTATTTTTTCCTTCCACCATTGTAAGTCCTGGGGATTGAACTCAGGGCATAAAATCTAGAAGCAACAAACAGTACATGTTTGTCATTTGTATTCCTTCTCTATAAAAATGTCCATACTATGTTTGTCATCCCTATACCCTCTCTATAGAAATGTCTACAGAGAAGCTTTACTGCCCCCCTCCAAATGGGTGGGCCAGTTATATTGTTAACTTGTAACAAGAGTCCTATGGTAGATCAGATATAATATGACATGTAAAGATTTTCTCACTCTGTGAGTTATCTTTTTTAACTTTCTTGAAAACATTCCGTGAGGTTTGTTAGGTTATCTGCCAGGTGGTGGTGGCATGCACCTTTGATCCTAGCACTTGGAAGGTAGAAGCTGGCCAATCTGAGTTTGAAGCCACCCTAGCCTACAGAGCAAGAGCAAGTTCCAGAACAGCCAGGATCACACAGAGAAACCCTGTCTCAAAAAGAAAAGAAAAAAACAAATCCAAAACAAACAAAAAACTCTGTTACCTAACTCAGGTCACCAAGACTTATATCTGTGTTTTTCCTAAGGGTATATAGTTTTAGCTCCTGTATGAAGTTGGGACTGAACTTGATTTGGTTTTGGTTTCAAGACAGAATCTCACTCTAAAGCCCAAGATGACCTGATACTCATAATCCTGTCTCACTTACTAGGTGCTGATATTATAGGCCTATGCTACCCTGTCTCATACCACTTCATTCTTTCTTATACAACTACCTCAGCTCCACTGTTCTTTTTACTGAAAGATTATTCTTTCTTCCCTCTGTATTCTTAATTTAATAAAAATATGGAAAATGTCTATTTCATATTCTATTCACATCAACTGAAATTTGACTGAAAATAATCTAAGCAATGACTCATACATCTTTTCAATGTTTATAACTGTCTATTTCCTACAGCATTTCTTCCCTTGCCTCACTTGAGACCACTGTCAAAAGGTCTAGGTAGGAAGGCCGGCATGAGGCGCACACAGATAACTGTAACACTGAGGAGGCTGAGAAGCAAGAAGCCGGAGATCCAGACTAGCCTGGGATACACCATGGGAGCCTGTCTCAAAACAAGAATCTAGGAGAAAAAAAGATGAGTTTGTTGTAATAAAGTCACAGCACAAGTTAGGATGAACAAAGAATAAACCAAAGAGAAATTATCACTGAAAATCTAAGGGGAAAGAGGTAAATTCTATCATATTTTTTAAGAGCTGTACTTACACTCAAAATACATTAAAATCAAAGAAAATTAAGTAAATCACTAATTTCATTATACCACTGACATTACATACCTAGGAGATGTGTCCAAATGTTGCCTGTCTCTGTGTGTATTCTGAAAATGCTCTTAAAACAGGCCCGGAAAGAAGGCATAGGAGGTCGGTGTCCATGGAGAAGGAAATCATTATCCTTAAGCCAATCTGGTAGCACATCATGGGGGATTACTCGCCATCGACCTTCCCAAACCTAGTTATTCATTGAAGAATGTTATCAAACACTTTGTTGTCAAACAAACTTTAGTTGTCATTTAGCAACACTGTTCCCAAACAACTTTTACCATAATTTTATATTGGAGAAAATAAAGACTGATTAAAAAATGTATTTCTAAATAGCAGTCTTTGTTAGGAACAGCAAAGCATGAATATACCAAATTATGTCCTAAAAGACTTTGGTTTTAGTCCAGCCAGAGGGATGAGGAATTCAAAGTCCCAGCTACACAGACCTTCATTCATTGACAACAGACTTAAGCTCATAAAAATTAGCCATTAAATAAGACCATTTTATACTTAATGCTCGCTGCTTCATTTCATGTCTTTTCCTAAAAAGTCTCCTCTCTGCTTTCTGCTACAAGGAAACTGCAGTGTTAAATGGAAAAAGCATAGGGCTAAGGAGATTTTGAGTCTCTGCTGTTAACTAGTATGAGTTTAATCAATTACAAAATTCTCCTTGCCTATAAAACAAGGGTGACAGCACTTCACTTAATGAATTCTGAAGATCAAGCAAATGACATACAGACCTCACTTGTGTCCACACTGCTAGCATTCCCCACCCCCCTGGGTCAGAAGCAATTCTAATTGTGCAGAGGCAATCCTTTTGCCAGGGAGACTGAAATAAAAGGTGCTTCCTTACCAGACCATCAAGTCCCAAAGCTTTGCCCCCTTCCTTTTCCTGCTGTCCCTCCCCAGGAGGAGAGGAAAGGGGGTTAGGACCTTGACACTGCTTCCTGAGAAAGTCTGTTCACCACTGACCCTCGTATCTTTCTTAAACCTCACACCGTGATGATCAACTTCACCCAGGATCCAGCAGCAAGCAAAGGAGAAGAGTTTGTACTACTGTGCTCTGTAGTGCTTCCACTAACACACTACTCAAAAGACTTCTCCCTACTCTCCGTTGGGGGTCTTGAAGCAAAGCAAGAGCTAAGCCACATAAACTGGGCTCTCCTCCCCACTAACGTAGAAAGACTGTCACTTGCCCGCTACTGTGCCCCTCCTTTACCCCACATCCCATTTCCTGTTCTCTGCCTTCTGATTTCCTTACTAACAACTACAGAAAGAAGTATTCCTCTATGTGACACTTCTATTCTCCTAAGGGAAGTGACAACATCAGAACAGATGCAGCCACCCTACCTATTAAATCAGACTTACTCCCCCTTCCCTTCTCTTTATCTCTCTCACCTTCCAGTTCAAACCTCAGGGCCTATACTCATTGATGCTAACCTGGTCAATCCATGTATATCCCTAAAGTCAAATAAATAAAATAAGCCAAGATGACTCTCATCTTCACTGTTTCCTGCTAGTTCTTAAGTTGTCCCATGTAGCTATGAATGACTGCATCTAAGAACAGCTGTTAACAGAAAATTCTGCAGATTCCTAACTCTTTAGATAAAATGACAGTCTAAAACAATAACAATAATAACAACAAACCCTTGTATATTTATTTGTGCAGAAGACAACCTATTTTTCTTAAATATTTTCATTCTTCTTTTAAAATTCTATTTTCCTCAGATGGGGGTTTCACTATACTGCTTAAGCTGGCTGTGAATTCATAGACTAAAGTGATCCTCTTGCTCAGACTATCAAAAAAGCTAGAACTGAATGCAATACAACAGCTATGAGGGAGGGAAAAGGAGACAACACACACACACACACACACACACACACACACGTAAACACGCACACACGCGTGCGGGCGCTTGAGGAGAGAAGGTTTATACTGGCATACCTAGTTACTTGATATAACCTAAATGAGGTTGGTCTATGACCAAATTTGGGGAATTGTCTTGATTACATTAATCATGTTAATTACATAACTTGTTTACACTAGTTGAGAAGGCCTGTCCATTGTAGGAAGGACCATTCCCTGGGTGTAGGTCCTGAACTGAATAAGTAGAAAAAGCAAGCTGAGTCCAGACAGGCGTACATACACTCATTTTCTCTGCTCTAGACTGTGGGTGTAATGGTTTTAAGTACCTGATACAAAGGCTCCCCAAAAAGATGGATTCTAACCTGGAACTGTGGGCCAAAATAAACCCTAAGCTGTTTTTTTGTCAGCACATCTCATCACAGCAACAGAAACTGAAGAACAGAAGTAGGAACTGAAACTGGTACCAGAAGTGGGGTCTGCTGTGATGAACCTAACTACATGATTCTTGTTCTGACTGAGTTAGCCTTTGTATGTTTTTACATACAAAGTGTAAAGTTTAAAACTTCAGGCCAGGAAAGCCATTGAATTCTATAGAAAATATTTAAATAGGTTGACCTTGTGGAAGCTTGGAAGAATGCTGAAAGAAATACAGACCAATGAAGGCTTGGCTCATGAGCTTTCATAGGGGACCAAGGATTCTACCCAGTACTTGCACAGAAGCCATTAATGAGATATTTGGCCAAATATCTGGTTTCATTCTGCTCGGGTCCTGAGAATCTAAGTGAAGTTGATTTCCTTGTAACATTACAATATAACCTAAAATTACAGGCTAAAATAGACTCTTTCTCTCTTAGGTTGCTTTATGTCAGGGTATTTAATGACAGCATCATGAAAACTAGGACACAACCCCAGACACTTGCTTATCTGATTAAAAACCTAACAGACTCTATATTCTTTTCAACAAGTAACTTCAATTTTAGTTATCATTTTTAAAAAGGAACTTCAATTTTACCTTCATTTAAAAAAATAATTCTATCATAAAAAAAAAAGCACCTACAATGGGTCCTAGGGACTTGAGACAAAAACAAAACAAAAAACTGGCTGAACTGAAAATAATAAATGAACATGAAAATATTGAAATGTCTACCTCAGCAGTTTGATTATCCATGGACTCTCTAGAAACAGCAACTATGCTGTTCATTTAAACAGGGTTTTGTATGGCTTTTTAATAACTCTAGTACAACCACTCCAAACTGTTTCATTCTGTCTTATCTAATCTACATTTACTCTGTTACCCTGTATCAGGAGAGATTCATATCCCAACTGGACATTCTGATGACACAAGAACTTTATCAGTATGTTTTACAAATGTATCATCAACAGGTTCAGACCAGGAGAATTATTTATTCCCATCTTGCCATTATTTTCCCCCATAAGCAGGACAAAAGCAAAGCACTATCATCTACTTTCACAATGTCTACTTAGGAAAGGAAATCTTACCTTACAAACAAATTCTTCCATTCTTTCCATAGCATGATGGGCTTGTAGGAGGGGAGAAATGCCCATAAACCCTTCATCTTCCTGGGAATTGTCATCTTTACACTCGAGTTCCTTAGAGCTCTGCAAAGACATCACAGCAAGACTCAAGGACAGGACCTTAGCAGATGCAGAGGTTTCAAGTCAAGCTCAGTCCAGCATTAACAAGTCAGTAGCAGTAAGTTCATTGTAAACCTATTAGCATTAAAAATGAAGCCAAGCATGGTGGTGCACACTTTCAATCCAAAATAAGACAAAACAAATATAAACAAGTAAAACATCATTTTCTTAATTCTGAGGGATAAACAACTATACTATAAGAACATCCCTATGCTCACTTCAGTCTGTCCCTTGAAAAGCTTTATTAGTTTCCTTTGGGTTTAAGAGTTACTTCCACAGGTCAGTGAGAGCTGGATGATGGAAATTTGATCCCTGGAACCCACATAATGGTAGATTGAGAGAATCAACTCCACAAGGCTGTCTGCTGACCTCCACATGTACAACCTGGCACAAGGGCCCTAACCCTTACATCATACAATCACACATAAATAACTTCAAATCACCTTTGACAAGTACAACACCCTACCCCTTCATGATAAAGGCCAAGAAGAAACTAGAAGCTAAGACAGGATGATTATGAATACCAGGCTACCTGGTCTACATAACTAGGCCCTGGCTTAAAGAATAAAAAAAAAAAGAAGGAAAAGGGAATTGGAAGGGAGAGATAGAGGAGGGGAGAAAAGGAAAGAGGAGGAAGAAAGTTTCTGCTTCCAGACCTCAAGGTAGGGACTTGGGAGACAGCATAGTCAAGATCAACCTGGGCTGCATGAGACCCTGTCTCAAAACAAACACCAGTGACAACAGCAACCAAAAATAAAAACATACAATTACAACTATCAGGAAAGGAAAACATGCCATGATCCTCATCTATGGAATTATTCTAACTGAATATGTAGCTCTGAAATTTCAGGCAGGACATAACATAAGCAAAAGTGAGGAAGAAAGAGGAAGAAGCTAAAGTGCGAGGCCAGTCTGGGCTACACTGTGAGCCCGTTTTGTTTGAATCCAACAGACAGACACACATACACCCTCAATGAGAGGGGCTGAAATGATCAGTGCAGAGAAGTGGAGATAGCTTGTGCACATGTCTATTCTTTCAAGGAGCTTCACAGAACAGAATACAGCTAAGTAGGGTCACAGTAGAAAGAACTTGCTTCCAAGCAGAGAAGGGAAGAAGCTGGGAGTTGACACAGGACCCCTTCAAAGGCCTGGACACTCTGAATTCACTGAATAGCTTTCTCATATTTTCTTTACTACTCTTGAGACAGGGTCTCACTGTGTAGCTCTCTGGCTATCCTGGAACTCTCCATGTGGACCAGGCTGGCTAACTCGGAGATCACCTGCCTCTACCTCCCAAGTGCTGGGATTAAAGGTGTGCACTATTACGCTTGGCTGGAGACAAGTTTTTCAAAGAGGATGAATATAGCCTCTCTGCTACTATGAGCAGCAAAGATGATAGAAATGGTGAAAGGAGGTTTATGGAATTGTAAGGAATAAAGCAGGAGTCTTGGCCAATAATTTCTGTACTTTGTTTTAAAGTAGGAGATGGAGAAAATTAATAGAGACTGAGACTGGATGCTTAAGAATGGAAAGGGTGCCGCTGTAGTTTGAATGAAAAATAATATTTGGTACCCAGTTGATGGCAGTTTGGGGAGGTTTAAAGGATGCAGCCTTGCTGCAAGAAGTATATCAGTTACTAGGAATGGACTCTGAAATTAAAACCTGTACCATTTCCAGTTCAATCTCTCTGTCTGTGCTTGGGGTAAAGGCTGTGCCCTCTGAGCACGATGTCCCTCCACAATGCCTGCCACTTGCTGCACACTTTCCTGTCATGATACTCCCAACCCTCTGCATTCTTCTCTAAGGTGCTTTTGGTTATGGTGTTTTATCACAGCAACAGAAGATTAATTAATACAGATACTGAAGCGGCTGGTGAATATGATAGTTTCTTCCAAATTCAGATATTTGGGACCTTAGAACACAGGCATAGAGCCAAGGGACAGATTCAGAGAGGAATGGACCAGGTTCCTAGGCTCCCATCCAACTTTTTTTTTTAAACAAAATCACTATTTTAGTTATACAAATGTTTTGTCTGTATGTATGAATGTGTGCCATATACATGTTGTTATCAGCCAAGGTCAGGTATGGAATCTCCTGGTACTGGAGTTACAGACCATTGGTAAGCTGCCATGTGGATACTGGGAATTGAGTTCAGGTCCTCTTCAAGAACAAGTATTCTTAACCACTGAACCAACTCTCCAGTCCCACTACAATCCATCCTTATAAACCATGGTCTGTGTATTTATTCCCTCATCTTGTTTCACATGTGGTGATTGGCAGAGTCCAGAAAGACTGGCAGGTGGCTCAACAAATAAGAGTAGCTCCCTGACAGATTCCAAGGCAGTTAGCAGAGTAGCAGTTGATAGGAAGGAGAGGTTCCCAATACAGGAGCGGGCTTCTGCAAGAGGCTAGGGGATTCAGCTGTCACCCCAGGAGCAGCACACTCTAACCGCCAACTGCTTGGTTTAGAAGTAAGTCTTTTTAAGCAGAAATGAGATGTTTTCTTATCTGTAAATAGTAATAGCTGTGCCCAGTTTGTAAGGTCATTCAAAGGACAGAGTCCACCACTGTTCAGTGTGTATGTAACAAAGTGCCTGGCACCAAGGTGTTCAGCTGGAGTGTTTCTCCTTGTCCCCTTCTATCCCTTTGGTCATTCTTGATCACCTACCCGCTGGACAGGACCATCAGCTAGTCTGGTGCCCGCCTCTCCTGCTGCGTGTGCATGAACCACACCAGTGTCACCTGACACACAAGGAATGATAATGTTCACACAATACACCTATGATTTTTTTTCTTCAATTTTCTTTCTTCCTTCCCTCCCTCCCTCCCTCTTTCTTTCTTTCTTCCTTCCTTCCTTCCTTCCTTCCTTCCTTCCTTCCTTCCTTCCTTCCTTCCTTTCTTTCTGAGAGACAGTGACAGTCTCATCACACTGTAGTTCAAAGCTGTCCTGGAGCTATGTAGCCCAGACTGGCTTCAAATTTGCTATACTTCTTCCTCGGACTCCTCCTCAGTGTGGGGATTAAAAGGACAGGCTACCATGCTTGACGAGATCCTTTTTTTTTTCTTCTTCGCCAGCGTGTGTGTGTGTGTGTCTGTCTGTCTGTCTGTCTCTGTGTGTGTGTGTGTGAGAGAGAGAGAGAGAGAGAGAGAGAGAGAGAGAGAGAGAGAGAGAGAGAGAGAGAGAATTGTGAACCTGACACAGTCATGTATGGAGGTCATAGGACAACTTTGTATAACTGGTTCTCTCCTTTCACTCAAGGTCAAGATTACACAACAAATACTCTAGCCACTGAGCCACCTCACCCACTACATCAAGAGATTCTTAAGTGAAATTCTTACATTTGATCCAGTATAGATAAACACCTATGATATCATGCTAAGTGAGGTAAACTCTACACTGAGGGATGAACATTCTATGATTTCACTTACCTGTCATTAAATTTGACTAGCAAAAAGCAAAATGGTGGTTCTCAGGGGCTAAGGAGCATGGCAAAGGACAGACAATGTTTAACAGACACAGAGTTTCAGTTTAAGAAATAATGTATGTAGCCCACCAGCACAGGACTCACTGAATGGGCAGGGTTACCACTATACAATTAGGGAGATAGTTCTACCCAAGAGTTACAGATGGAAGAAGTCATAGGCACTATGTTCTTCCTAACAAGAAAGAAGGGAATGTCCTGGCAATGGTCTATAGAGATTCTCATATGACACCTATACTTATCCACAGGCTGAGAAACAATACACTGACTTTTTACCCTAAGGTGTTGGTGAATGAACTCAGGACATTCTTCTCACTAGGCAGAAGGATGAATAGAAATAATCAGATACAATGAGAATTTTTAATGTTACTTGTGAATTCCATTCTTCATTTATCAAATATAAATATGTCCACATTAATAGTAATACTCTATGCTGGATAATATAGACCATGTAAACATGAAGGCCACACTTCATAATGTAACAAAACAGATGAGATCTACAGTCGTGAGTTTAATTTGGAAGGGTTCTTTGATAGCAGGGAAGATGATCTCTGCTGTAGGCTGAACCAGAGAAGCAGGAAACATCCATGATAGAGGGAAATGGCTGAGCTGACAGCCAGGAAGCAGTGCTGAGAGATCGGAAACATAACAGGCCTCCTGGATGGGTTGAGGTAACTCAGCAATTGCTCTCACTTTCTGATCTTGACTTCTTTTTGAAAAGTTTTGTGTGTGGACATGGGTAGGGGTGTGGATAGAAGCAGGTGTATGCATGTGACAACACACATGTGAAGGTCAGAAGACAGCTTTACATGTAGGATGGTCCTCACCTTACACACTGAGACAGTATCTTTTGTTGTTTTACTGCTATGTAGGCACACTTCCAAGGAATCACCAGTCTCTGCCCAGCTCCATTAGTCATTTATGTGGGTTCAGGAGACTCAAACTCAGGTCCTAATGCTCGTGTAGCATGCATTTTAATCCAGTGAGTCATCACCACTGATCCTAATCCTGACTTCCTGCCCTGCTTTCCTTTCTAGGGGGCTGTAAAGGATCTGGCCTTTTCCTGAAAAATAGGAGAACATGACAGTAGAAGTGACAATTGCAATGATCCCTGTGCTGTACACAGTAGCAGGTGACAAATCTGGCTACTACATAGGGCGAACACTATGGTTTGGCCTCATCTCCTTATACAGCTTAGTGATGTATGCGATCCATGTGCACTGGAACAAAATCTATGAAGACTTCAGCTGCCATGGAAATATCACCTACACTTGTGTTATGGAGTGTTTTGAACAACTATTTAGCATGCCTATCATGGGATTGTGGTACTACTTCTACTTCATCTTCTTAGCCTTGTTCTTCCTCATGGAATTCTTCATGGCTCAGATTCGGCATAAGCACAGCAAGGTAAAGGTGAAGTCCATGCAGCAAACAGAGAACATAAAGGAAATGGAGAAAGGTTTCATGGAGGAAATGTGGAAACAGAGCCCCTCCCAGAAGATATCCTTCCTGAGCTTCCACCAAAAGAAGACACTCTTATATCTGTATCTGCTCCACAGCCTCCTGCAGGTCAGCATCCAGATTGTGTTTCTATGCCTGCTCACATTCAAATATCTGCCCATAGTGAGTCATGGCAAAACTCACTGCAACACCAACAGCTGCTCTGCCCCCCTTCACTGCCTGATCAGGAAAACCTCGGCAAAGAGGGTGACCATCTACAGCCTCATCACCTTGTCCATCATAAACATCGTCCTCGGGGCAAGCTACTTCATCTATAGCATCTGCCATTACCTCGTGAAAGCTCGTTCAGCTTCCAAGATCCCAACTGACTGATGTTTCTAAGAACCAGCACACTTCCTAAAGTCCTTTCTCCTTCACACAAGGAACTTTATGTTCTTCTAAATTTTGTTTCAGAACAATTCTTCCTTCTAACCTTCTTTTGGTCTTGATTTTAATAAACAAACATTTGCCAAGATGATGACATACACCTTTAATCACTCCACTGGGGAGGCAGAGCAATGTAGAGTTCAAGGCCACTCTGATCTACATGGTGAGTTCTAGGCTAGCTAGGGCTACTAATGAGATCCTACCTTAAAAATATAAAATATGATTTTAAAAAAACATTCACTGGGGCTGGAGAGATGGCTCAGAGGTTAAGAGCACTGGCTGCTCTTCCAGAGGTCCTGACCTCAATTCCCAGCAACTACATGGTGGCTCACAAACATCTATAATCTGGTACCCTCTTCTGGTATGCAGGCATACATGCAGGCAGAACACTGTATACCTAATAAAAAAAATCTTTGAAAAGCGAAAAAAAAAAAAAATTCACCATTTGTTTTTATCTCTAGTGCTAGGCTGGGGTTATCTGACCCTGAGGTAAGAGCATATCCATACACTGACCACCAGGCCTTGGTTCACTTCCTCAACATGGTCCCCTGTAAGGTGGCTTCAGTTCCTTTTCCTGAAGCACCAGAAGATAAGTATCCATGAAGGCTGCCTGCAGACCACAAGGAAGCCACTTGAAGCCTGGGTCTGTCACCTTTCACTTTCACTCCACAGGAGCCTTCAGATGTCAACTGCAGTGGGGTCAACTTTCCCTGTGGTAAAGATCAATTATAGCTCAAAGCAGAACTGATTTTCACTTTCTGAACAGGTCTTGTGGAAGATGAGAATAAGGTTAACCAACAGAGCACTGTGCCAAGTATGTTCATACCCTCCTCAGGCCAAGGCTACATCACCTTCCTCTCCAGTCTGAGATGAAGAATCCGGGGCCAGCTCCTACTTAGGTGTCCACACCAAAGGTGATTCTCTAGGAAACATCCAGGTGAGGAGTGGACAAGACGAGGGAGAGGGATGACAAGAAGTCTACTCCCCCCTCAGCAACAAAACAGAGGATGTCAAGTTCCACTAACAGACAAAGGCGGGCTCCACGGGACGATCACCCACTTTCATTACCCAAAAGGGACAGGGCTGGAGTGAGATCTGGTGCCAGGAGAGACTACAATGTAGAAAGCAGGGGCAGGAACAAGGAGGTGGCCCTGGGAGCCACTTGGGTATGAGGTGATGTGGGGGCCAGGAGCATGCTACCCTGCCGGCTCCTCCCACAGGCTCCTCCCACAGGCTTGAGGAACGGTGTGGTACAGTCTTCACAACAATCTTCCAGAACTAGCACGCTGCCTATGGCGGCTCCTCCACAATGATATGTCACTCAATTAGTGTGAACCACTACTCACACCAATCTCAGAAAGCAAATGCTAGAAGGAGAGGGCAGTAAACGGCAGGAAAGGAGGCTAAACAACGCCTCAGGAACAACAAGCTGTTCAACCCCAGAATCAGCTCAGGGAAATCTTCTCAAGGCAACATCCTTCTCCTTGCCAGCCAGACTAAAACAGAAGAAAAGTGAAAACAAAATCTATGTAGAAATATCTGAGACCAGTGGCCAAGCAGCATAATCCAAGACTGACTAAACTGGTATTTCAAATTACTGCCTATTTTTATTTAAAAAAAAAAAAAAGTGTGTGAAGGTATCTTAAACAACAAAAGTGTATCTAGTGGAACAGCACTTACCTAGCATATCCAAAGCCCTAGGTCTGACCCACAACACCTTAAAACCAAACCAAATCAATCAATCACATACAAAGTGGGTATTACCTTTTATATTTAGAATGTATTAAGTATAACTTAAATCAAGGCCACCAAATTGATTCTGCTTCTAGCAGCATGAATTGTTTATTACCGTTTGTTTGGTTTTATTTTTAAAAAAAAAAAAAAAACTTTTTTTTTTCATTTTTTGTCCTGTATACACGCACATACACGCATGCACATACTACATAAGACCTAGCTTCACAAACCAAAAGGATTTAACTTAAAAATATTACAGATATAACATATCCACAAGTACATAAAACTAGTTTATCAAATCAAATGTATGTTTTTAGTCTTTTTGAGACAGGGCTCAGTATGTATTCCTGGCTAGCCTGGAACTCACTCTGAAAACTAGACTGATCTAGAACTCAAGAGAATTGCCTGCCTCTGCCTCCTGAGTGCTGGGATTAAAGGAGTACACTACCACACCCAGTTTAACTATGGTTTTAATTTAGTTTAAATGTGTACTGCTATATACATGCATCTCAATGTTTTTCTATGTTGCTGTTAATATTTTTTGTCTTAAGCGTTGGATGGGGTCTCACTATATAGCCTGGATGGCATAGCCAACCTGTAATCTTTCATAATAGCAAGATTAAATAACTAACCATTAGGAAGCATAATCCTGCAGTATGACATTCAATCTCCCAGCACCACATCAATGAATGAACATAAAAGTTCCAGTGTACACATCAACACACCTGTAACACTGTCTGATGCTGTTCACAAACACATTTGCTACCATTATGAACTGCCTAAGTCTTCCCTTTTTCTCTGAAAGTTAAATAAAACATTAAAATCTACCTTCTGTCCTCAAGATTCTACTGACCCCAAGATATTCACTGAAAATACACAATTTGAGAAGTTGTACATAATTTCTCCAAAATATCAATGACAATGTCATAACTAAAATGTAGCTGGTTCTGGGGCTAGAGAGATGTCTCAGCTTGCTGTTCTTTCAAAGGACTTGGATTCAGGTCCCAGCACCCGCATGGGGTCTTACAACAGTCTGGTAGCTCCAGCCACAGGGTCCTACACCTTCTTCTGGCCTCTGAAGCTACCAGGCACACAATGCACTCAGATAGGCAGGTAAAACACTCATAAGCACAAAAATAAGTAAATCTTTAAAAACAAACATTCAGTCTCTCCTAAAATGACAAAACAGAGTGGCTATGATTTTAAGTGCCAGCAGAAAGGTGCAAATATGAAGTCAAATATCTGAGCTCAGTAAGAAACCAAGTTTTTCCAGGCATGGTAGCACATGCCTTTAATCCCAGCACTAGGAGGCAGAGGCAGAGAAGCAGAGGCCGGTAGATCTCTGTAAGTTTGAGACTGGTCTACAGAGTAAATACCAGGACAGCCAGTGCTATACACACACACACACACACACACACACACACACACACACAGAGTCTTGAAAAAACAAAACAAAACAGCACTGCTGTTGTCACAGAGAACCTGAGTTCAAGTTTTAGCACACACATGATGACTCACAACCATATGTATCTCCAATTCTAGGGAATCTGGCACCCTCTTCTGGCCTTTATAGGCACAAAACACGCACATGGTACTGACATATGCAGGCAAAACACCCATACATAAAATTAAGAAAAAAAAAAATACTCTAAGTCAACACCTCCACCTTTCCTCTAGAAAAATCACACATTATATATTACACATATGTATTCTTTTCAAATATCACCCCTTATCTCCGTATGTCCATATGCTTTGTTTGCAACCCTCCAGATTTTTAACTTACATTTTTATAATGGGAAGAACAAACAGATGTCTCTAAAATGGGCTCCAAATCTCCTTGGTGGCTGTCATTATTACCTCCCTTTGTATCATCAAGTTGGTGCCCTTTTCTGAGCCTTATATCTGGCTCTGGAGTCCTGGTGCACCCCAATCGGTGTTCTGCTGGCTCGTTCATGGGATACCAAAGCCTTTCTTACAAAGTGATCTTTCTTTCTGTCCCTTCTTCTTGGGAGAATGGATTTTTAAGGGATAGCGAGTTGACCCTAAGGAGAGAAAAGTTATACACATGAGTGCTGGGAAAACACATGAGCTACATTATTATACCCTCAGGAACAAAATTCAACCACGAAAAAGAACAATATTCTTAATAAGTTACACCCACTGCTAAAAGACTGCCAAAATCTAACAACCAAAAAGGACATGTGTAGTATTTCCACTTACATTAATTGTAAAAAATGTGATTGCATAAATTTATGCACATACAACAATTGTTAGAAATTCAAAACCATGCCCCTGGCATAGAAACACATAAAGAAGAACTCAAGGATTTTATTTTAAAAAAAAAAGACTTACATTTTACTATGCTCTGCCTATGCCTTTTTTTTTAACCCTATCATTTTGTTTTCAGTTAAAAACATGCCTAACTCAAGCTGGGCATGGTAGTACAGAACTTTAATCCCAGCACTCAGAAGACAGGCAGGGGAATCTCTGTGAGCTTGAGGCCAAGTCTACAAAGCAAATTCCAGGCCAGCCTGGAATACATGTAAGCTTACATATTATGCCATTTTACATATCCAACTTCATTTAAATAATGCCAGGGTTTCATTTTATTAAATTTCAATTTGATTTTAGCAAATTTCATTAAGTAATGACCAGGGTTATTTTTCTTTTACAAGTGGGAAAACCAAAACTCTGCACACATATTTTATAAAATAGGACAAAATCTCTAAATTCATGCATATTTTTGTGTATTAATTAATAGTAACTAATTAATATGTATTACCAGCAACACTATATTCAACATGCTTAATATCTGACATTTTTAGTTGTTCTGGTCTCTAATAAGACTACCATGAAAAGCTAAAAACTTGGGACCAGAGCATATCCCTTTTATGTCTGCAATCCCAGGAGATGCCATATATATATAAATATCTAACAAATAGCTGAAAGGTATTTCAATGTTCTTGAGTGATAAAAACTTTCATAAACCACCTTTTTCCTAACTAGTCTGTGAAAAAGTTCTAGCCTTTCAAGTTCTTCCCATCTAACCATTCATAGAACACAAATGTACTTTAGACAATCAGGTGAATAACAAAATAGATTAAAATAGTTAATTCACCTGAAGGGAAGATTAAGGAACATAATGTGCATTGGAATGCTGAGACATGATGTTCTCATTGGAGAAAGAGAAGAACAAAGAAAGCCTAGACTCTGTAAAAACCAGGCAAGGCTGTCCTGTGTATGTGAACCAGGTATGTAAGTATAAGTTACACTGATGTAGATACTAAGATACTGATGTACAAACTAAGTGCTAGCCACAGAATTAGTCTCTGTAATGACTTAAGCTTACTGCAGGATTTCTCTAGTTACTTTCAAAGTTTATGCAGCAAGAAGCACAAGAAGTTAGAAAAAGGGCTCAGCAATTAGGAACCAAGTTCAGTTTCCAGGACCTATGGTGATTCATAACAATCTTTAATGCCAGTTCCAGGAGATCTGATGCCCTCTTGTGGCACCAGAGGTAACACACACATGCACATGGTACACATAGGTAAAATACGCATACACATAAATTGTGTTTAAGTAATGATGACTAACTGCCAATTAAGAGATGAACCCTAGACTACCCTATAGACAAAGAGTTAAAACATGAGAAGCCAAGAAAGACCACAGCTACATCTTGATGGCTGGGATACAGTTAATTCTGACATGTACATGCAAGCTGACCATGTACATGTGGGAACACAGAGAGCTTGGCAAGGACAGATGACGAAAGTAACACTGGTCAAGTGACTAACAGTCAAGGTCAAACTAGAGTGAGCCAGAGATGGACAGAGGGTTTTGATCACCTCTAACCTGATAGGCAGTGCATGAATAGGGGTATAGTTATTTCCTTGGTTGAGCCAGGGATACAAGCATAGTGGGGGAGGGGGGGAGAGATGGGACTCCATTAGTTCAGCCCAAGATAGCTCAGAAAATTCAGCAACGTCAAAAGGGATTACCTCAGCCTTTGTCCAATTTCTCTATAAAACCCCTAAGCAAAGAAATTGAAAGATTTTTAGATTTTTCCCCCTCTCTTGGAACACCCCCCCCAAAAGTTTTTTTTCTGCAATGATTTTTTTTCAGTGTGTGTGTGTGGGGGGGGGGGGGATTCAAGCATGGTTTCTTTGTGTAGCCCTGGCTGTCCTAGAATAGCTATATAGACCAGACTGGCCTTGAACTCTGAGATCTGCCTGCCTCTACCTCCCAACTGCCAGACAGAATTAAAAGCATGCACTACCACAGCTGGCTGATCTGCGTGAGCTCCAGGCCAATTAAGGCTATATAGTGAGACCTTGTATCACAATGAGGAAAAAGTAAAAAGTGGGGGAGGCAATTTAGGTAAACTTCAGGTTACCAAAAACTTAACAAAATGAAATCTCCTAATCTTAGAAGGTTCTAGAGAATCAAATTTTACTATAGTCTGTCTATTTACATTCTACCTACTTGAAGCAAATGAACTCCTACTAGAGACTAAGACCTTGAAACCAAAAGCAAACAAATCTAGTAAAGTAATAGATAAGAAAGGTTTCTTTTATTAACACTACAGTTTAATTCTGTCCTAGAGATTAAGTACCTAAATAAGAGGGAAATGAGGAGAGCCAGGCAGTCTACAGAGTGAGTTCAGGACAACCAGAACTATTCAGAGAAACCCTATCTTAAAAAACCAAAATATGAAATACAATAAAAAATTGTAAAGAGAAAGACAAATTTTCAGATTTATATTTACTGATAAAACCTACAATAGCCAGGACTGGAGAGGTGGCTGAGCTGTTAAGAGCACCCATAACTATCTGACTCCAGTTTCAGTGGTACCTTCTTCTGGCCTCTGCAGACACCAGGCAGATTATATGGTGCACGTACATACTTGTAAGCAAGATACACATACACATGAAACAATATATTTAAAAAATAAGCCAATGATAATCAAATGAACCATTATAAGTTGGAAAATTCATGTGATTGCAGCATAAAATGTATATACGGATGGCAAAAGAGAAAAGAGCAGAAACGACCAGAGAAGAAGGAAGAGAGAAACTACATCAGAAATGGGTGCTAGAGACAGTTCAATAAAGGTTGACAGCACATACTGATCTTTCAAAGGAACCAAATCTGGTTCTCACTTCCATGTCCAACAGCTCACAGCCAACTCTCTGTGATTCCCTTGGGGTGAGGGAAGGTGAGGGGGCACCTCTGGCCTCTGAAGGCACCTGTACTCATGTACAGACCCCACAGAAAAACCTGCATATACATAATGTAATGTAACAAAAATGCCAGTTGCTGGTGGCACATGCCTTTAATCCCAGCACTTGGGAGACTGAGGCAGAGTGAGTTCCAGGACAGGTTCCAAAGCGGGGTGGGGGGGGTGGGGGGGGGTGAGACCCAAAAAAGAAAAAAACCAAAAAAAAAAAAAAAATAACAAAAAACGAATTCTTAACAAAGATAAGTGCTGGGGACTAGAGAAATAATTCAGCAGTTAAGAATACTGGCTGCCCTTCCAAAGGAACCAGTTTCTATTCTCGGCACCCACATGATGGTTCACAATCATCTGTAACTGGCCTCCAAGAGTATCAGACACACATGTGGTACACAGACATACATACAGGCAAGCATCTGTATATATAAAATAATATATAATAATAATAATAAAGGTAAGAGCTATTTAAATTGAGGTTTTCTTCCATATACATTATGTATATAGATAAAGATATATATCCATATACCTACAAAAAAAAAAAAAAAAAAAAACTCCCCTGACTCCAACATTCAGAAAGGATTCCTCCCAGAAGTAGGGCATCTAGACTTCTTGTTCCCTAGCTACCTGTTTGCAGTTGTCAAGCATAGTTCAGAATCAAGTGCCTATATCAGCTCTGCTCTGCCCCCACTTGATGAAGTCCTATCTTAGGCAGGAAATACTATTTAAAAAAAAAAAAAAAAAAAAAAAAAAAAAAGCAGTCCTAAAAATTCTTGAAGCAGCTTAAGAGGCAGTGTGGTTCCACACCAGACAAGACACAGGCTACCCATCATCTGTGAGACAACGTAAGAAAGGCTGTCATTTTTTGTTTGTTTTTGTTTTCTTCCAGACAGGGTTTCTTTGTATAACCCTGCTGTATAGTCCTGAGACTTGATCTGTAGACCAGGCTGGCCCCAAACTCAAGAGATCCACCTGCCTCCGCCTCCCAAGTACCAGAATTAAATGTGTACACCACCACACTTGACTGAAAAGTTTTTGTTCAGGGTGAGAAACAGAAAAACAATTTCAAAAACAGGTGAAGATGCCAACCCTAGAAAGAACAGAGAATGCCAGGGACATAGCTCAGTGGCAGAACACTCACCTAAGCATGGATAAGACCTTAACTCCAATCTCCAATACCCCACCCCAATAAAAAGAACAGTCTTTGGGAAAAGAATCAGGATACAGGATAACTGGACTCAAGTTTGCAGGAGAAAACCAGGAAGTAAGATAGCTAGTAGGATTGGAACAAAAATTAAACACTAACCTCAGAAGTGATTCCTTCAAAGAAAACAGCATTTGGAGCTCACTAAACAGACCTCACTAAAACAAGCCTCTTAATCATTAAACAAATACGACAGTGCATAATAATCCCAAAGGAAGGTGCAACAAGTAATAAGACCTGCCACAATGTCTTATCTAATGTCCAGTTTCCAACAAAAGCTGCAAGGAATAGACAATAGTAAAGTATAGCACTTTATTATTATAAGAACACACCTCTCCAGAGGGCACAGCAACAAAGTGCCCTCTTGGAACCAGCAGTCTTCATCACACCAAAGTTGCTAGTACCTGAATATTGGGCTTCCTTGTTATGAAAAAATAAAATTCTATTCTTTACCCAATCTAAAGTACTTTGTCATAGCAACACAAACCAGATTAAGACACAAATTTAATTTCAACTGCATTATAAACACACTGCTACAAAGCTTCCCAACTCACTCATGGCTTTATGTTTCTGAAGTAACAAATTATACCTTTGGGGCTAGGAACATA